ATATATAGATATAAATGTAGAGAAAGAAAGGAAACAAAATATACAGTGTTCCTAGGCAAAATAAAACAGCTGTATATTGTAAAGCTTTTAGTTTTTCCAAGATGTTTGTATGACTTTAAAATACTACCAAATCCAGGTTTAAATCATTCTGAGAGTGACAAAAATAAGAAACCAGGTAAGGATATGAACAATCAATAGTATTTTGAAAGGAGAATAATTACACCTTGTCAATAATCACCAGAGAGTTTTCTGGGGGCATTTTCTAAGACAGGGAATGCTGGGTCTGATTTTAATTATATACATATAGTTTCATCATTAAGAAATACGAAGCCAGACTGTCAAGCTTTTTAACCCAGCTCAATCCCTTGTAAGATCTTCATCTAGGGTAAATTCTCTCTTTACCTCAGTTTCCTCATCAGTAAAACTGAGATAACAATAGTGCTTTATCCAGAGGTATGTGTGTATGTTGTTGTGAGTTGCGGTTGAGGCCATCCCAACTCATAATGACCCCATGTGTGCTGGGTAGAGCTGCATTCCATAGGGTTTTCAAGGCCGTGACCTTTTGGAAACAGATTGCCAGACCTTACTTCCAAGGTGCCTCTGCATGGGTTGGAACTGCCAGCCTTTCAGTTAATTGTCCAGTGTTTAACCATTTGCGCCACCCAGGGACTGCTAGAGGTCCAATAATACATGTCAGCTCTTGTAACAATGACTGCTACTACCACTAATACCAGCACCAGTAGTGGTAGGGTTGCTTCTAATTTGTTCTCCAGGACAGCTGCAGCAGTTTATATTCCCAGCAGCGGGTCAGGAGGGCTTCTGTTTCCCCGTATCCTTTCCTATACATGGTTTTTTCCTTTTTTTTTTTTTTAATATTGCCAAACAGATGATTGAGAAGTGATATCTCATTAGTGCCTAAATTCTCATTTCTCTGAATGGTAATGAGATTGAGAATCTCTCTATTTGCTTATTATAATTTGGAAACTAAGTAAAGATTTAAAATTTTAACAGACTCCTCAAAAAAAATGTGGGTTAATATTGACGCCTGTGGAATGCAACATCACTTTATGCAAAAATATACCTTTCTTTTTATTTCTGGTGAGAAAAATCCACAAGAAGCCTTGCTGGCTGGATTATTATATAGAAGGTTCAAAAAAAATTTTTTTTTAACCTGACAACAGAGAATGACTTTCAGAAGTTATGAAAACAATATATAAACTGCTTCAAGACAATCATCAGCCAAATAAGCCCTATATTTTTTAACCAGTGAAAAACTCACATTTCCATATATCAGATTTTCATCCCATCTGCTTCATGTCTTCAGTGGAGAGTATTCTCAGGCGGTGTAACAGCACTTGCACGTGAATTCCCAGTATGTACTGGTCATTTCCTGTCTCATAATACAGACTTCCCTTTCTGTAAATTGTTATTTGTATCCTTTGTCCATTTCTTCTACTGGAATTCAGGACTTTTGTTTTGTAGACTTGCAGTAGGTCCACATGTATGCAAGCTATTAATCATTTCTTTGTTTAGTTCATTGCAAATATTGTCTTCCAGTGTGTCGATTTTCTGTTAACTTTGTCTATTGCGACCTTCATTAAATAAAAATCTTTCATTTTCACATATTCAAACAAATCTGTATTCTTATTTTGCTCAGAGTTTTCTTCAGCTGAGTAGGAATGCCAAACTATGGGGATTCAAAAAGGAATATGGAGGAGATTTTAAAACTAAATTTCAGAGAGAGTTACACAAAATAAAATTTTATGATGGCAGAGGCTAATGCCACTGGGAGAGAAACCTTGGGAGAAATGGTGATATTTAACGAAAATTTCCGGGAGATTTTGCTGTGAATTCCATCTTGTTTCCCTGCAAATCTTCAGTACAGCTGCATCACTTGGCAATTCGTAAGAGTTAAGACTTTTTTTCCCTGGGGTTGAGGGTTTGGTTGGTTGTTACTCATCTCAGGACGTTCTGAGATTCCACTATTGGACCTACTTCCATCTTTAGTCAATTGCAGAACATAAGCTACAACCAAAGAGATATTTATGTATATGTTCATATGCCTTTGAATATGTTCTTATGTATATATATTTATGAATATATATGTATATGGGGCCCTGGTGGCACAGTGGTTAAGTGTTTGGCTGCTAACCAAAAGGTCAGCAGTTCGAATACGCCAGCTGCTCCTTGGAAACCCTATAGGGCAGCTCTACTCTGTCCTATAGGATCGCTATGAGTTGGAATCGACTGGCAACGGGTGTATGTGTATATATATGTGTGTATACACATGTATATGTATACATAGACACATACACATACACACACACAATCTTTCAAAAATACAGATACAGTTATTTACAAATGTTCTTAAAAATCTCTATAAGTCCTAAGAGAGTCAATAATGATTCATTTGGTATATCACCCATAATTCCTGCAGATACTTCGAATTGTAAATATCTGTGTCACATAGTTACATGCATGTGTGATTCGCAAACTAAGAAAAAAAATTCATCTCTGGAGGCTAATGTTGATTGGTGGAAAGAACTAGCAGTTTTTAATTTTTGTTTTGTTGGTGGAGGTGGGGGAGGGGCTGAAGTTCATGAATATGTCCTGCGTTAAGGGACTGAGGTGAAAAATAGGGGTAGATCCAGTAAGTGCAATAAATGGACAAATAAATCAAGCCAAATGAGGAGGAAATTGGTATCTACTAATCATAGCATTATTTTATTCTCATACTGGCTTAAATTTTTTTAACAGCTTTGTTGAGACATAATCCACATACAGTACAATTCACCCATTTAAAATGTACAGTTCATTGGGCTTTTAGTATATTCACCGAACTGTGCATCCATCACCACAGTCAATTTTAGAACATTTTCATGACCCCTAAAGGAAACATCAGGGAGCCCTGGTGGCAAAATGGTTAAGTGCTTGGCTGCTAAGTGAAAAGTTGGTGGATTTGAACCTACCCAGTGGCTCCGTGGGAGAAGAATCTGGGGAACTGCTTCTGTAAAGATTATAGCCAAGAAAACCCTATGGGGCAATTCTATTCTGTCACATAGGGTCATTATGCGTCAGAAACAACTCGAGGGCACCTAACAACAAAAGAAACCTCACACCCCTTAGATGAAGCCCCCTAGTTCCCTTACCTCTCCCAAACCTAGGTAACTATTAATCTATTTTTAGTCCCTATAGATGTGCTACAGCTGCTAACCAAAAAGTTGGCAGTTCAGATCCACCAGGCACTCCTTGGAAACCATATGGGATAGTTCTACTCTGTCCTGTAGGGTCATTATGAGTTGGAATCGACTCGACCGCAACGGGTTTGGTTTTTTGGTTTATAGATGTGCCTATGAGTTGGAACTGATCCAATGGCAATGGGTTTGGTTTTTTGGTATAGATGTGCCTGTTCTGGGTATTTCATATAAATGAAATCATATAATATGTGGACCTTTATGACTGGCTTCTTTCATTTAGAATAAGGTATTCAAGCTTCATCCATAAGTAACAGTACTTCATTACTTTTTATTGTGGAATAATATTCACTTTTATAGATATGCCACATTTTGTTATCCATTCATTAGTTCATGGACATTTGAGTTGTTTCTGTTTTTTTGGCTATTATTGATAAAGCTACTGTGAATATTCACATGCAAGATCTTGTGTGGACTTATGTTTTCATTTCTCTTAGATATATACCTAGGAATAGAATAGCTGGATCATACGCTAACTCTATGTATAAGCATTTGAGGAACTGCCAAATGGTTTTCCAAAGTGGCGGCATCATTTTATATTCCCACCGGCATCATATGAGGCTTCTGATTTCTCTACATCGTGGCCAACACTTATTATTATCTGTCTTCTTTATTATGGCTGTGATGGTGGGTGTGGAGTGGTGTGTCATTGTGATTTTGATATGTGTTAGACTGATGGCTAATGATGAACATCTTTTCATTGCTTATTGGTTATTTGCATATCTTCTTCGGAGAAATGCCTATTTAAAGTCCTTTGCCAATTTTTAATTGAGCTATTTGTCTGTTTATTATTTATTTGTAATTGTTCATGCTGGCTTAGATTTTATGCTCCAATTTAGAAAGAAAGTTATTTTACTTTGTAAGACATAATATTTAATTATACCCCTTAATCGATCTGAATATGAATAACAATGTGAAGAATGGATGGTTTGTTTTGGGTGATTTAAAAATTTTAAACTCAGAATTCATGAATTTTAGGTGATTTTTTTTTCTTTTCTTTTCCTACTATAGAAAGCATTCATTGATTTAATAAGCCTTTTTTGTTATACTGAATTTAAAACTATAGATCATGCTCTTTACCAGAAAAATAGCCCATTTGCTAGTCACAATTAATACCAAGCCTAGTCTTTCCTTCTTTACTTCATTACCATTTCAAGATGATTTTGTGGTTTAAAACCATTATCAGGAAAACTGTTGGAATGCATCAGTCTGTAGTTGTAATAAAGATAAGTGTGATCTCTTTTTGAGCAGCTTTCCTGGGAGAAGTTAAAATATTGTTCTCCCTAAGCCCTTGAAGACTTTACTCTGGCCCTCACACTAGACATGAAAGGAAGGGTGTCTAGACCAGGATTTTGTTGTTTGTTTGTTTTTTTAACCAATTTTAGGTTCTTGGCACAGTAAGCTCATAACAGCCCTGCAAGGATGAATCTTGGTGAATACATATCCCAAACTCACTTTTCTCTGTTCCTTACATCTCCTGACTGGAGGAACTTGAGGAAAAGACAGAGGGTAATGGAACCCTTTTATGTAGTCCTTAAATCTAGCTGCTCAAAGCAGAGGCAAAGTGGAGAGTACTGAATGGTTTTAGAGGGATGTCGCAGACTGTATTGTCCAAAGACGACTGCGGTAACATACCTCCTCTTGTAGTATGACCTTGACACGCCTCCCGATTGAATGGTCTGGTCTCTGCCCCTTCCCCTTGAAACTCAGCAGATCTTTGTGACTGCCTCTACCAGTAAGAAACAGCAGGAGTTATGCTATGTGATTTCCAAGGCTAGCTCATAAAAATGCATGCACTTTCACCTTCTTCCCATTGGCACAAGTGCTCTTGGAGTCCAGCCACCATAGAATGAGGAAACCCAAGTCAACTGTGGAGAGGTCCACATCAAGAGGAACCAAGGTGTCTAGTCCCCAGGTCTGGCTGAGCTCCCAGTCAACACCCTACACTGACTTGTCAGTCAAGTGAGCTTGCCAGTCCCCAGTTAAGTTGCCCCCAGCTTATGAGGTGTGGAACAGAGATGAGCTATCCCCACAGATCCCAGCTCAAATGACACATTTCTGAGCAAAATAAATGCTTGTTATTTTTTAAGACACTAAGTTTTGGGATAATTTGTTATATAGCAATAGTAATTGGAACTAGGGGTAAACATAAGACATTTCATACAACTTGGTCAAGTTTCCAGGAAACAGGCTTTTTCTTCCTTTGTATCAATGAATTATTTTTCTTATGTATCAGTCTTACCGTACTACAAGGGACAAATCACATCCCCTCAGTGAGAATGTCTCTCTTCTTCCCAATATTAGGATAAATTAAAAAAATAGAGAGAGAGATTTAATCCACTTGTTAAATTGTTACTCTATATATCATTGGCAACCTACCACCATGTTGAATTATTTCAGTGACGATTGTTTGTAACAGTGGCTCAATAGAGAGCTGTTCTATTTTCAATTTTGTTTCAATCATTTTGGTTTAATCAAGGAGAATGGTTTTGTTTGGTGTTAAGTTTGTCATTAATGATTCTCTAATATTTGCTATCCTCCCTTTGAAATTAAGAGAAAAGATCTCAGGCTCAGAAATTTTAACAGGGTCCAGATAGAAGTCATTTACTTTACTTTATTCTGGTTGTGTTCATTTTGGCGGTTCCATATTTTTTTGGTGAGTGGTTTTCCCTTTAAAATAAAATTAAAAAATCTGCATGTCGATATTAATTTGAATTTAAGAAAACAAATCCATTTAGGAATAAGTAAATAATAGAGCATTTTGTACTAAGATATGACAAGAAATGTGAAAAAGAAACTCTAATGACTGAAGTTTAGAAAACACTGGGTTAAGATCATTGGGAGGGCAAGGACTAAACAACCCTGGATCACCAATTCCCAGTTATTTACTCATCAACACACCACACTGACCAGAAAAAAAAAAGAAATCCCAAATTGCTATTATGAATTTGATGTTAAGGTGGAGAAAAGCCAACATCTTTAAGGCAACTCAGGCATTTAATACAACCTTGCTTTCTGAAAGTGAAGAAGACTTGAAGAACTTACTGATGAAGATTAAAGACTACAGCCTTCAGTGTGGATTACACTTCAACATAAAACAAAAATCCTCACAACTGGACCAATAAGCAACATCACGATAAACGGAGAAAAGATTGAAGTTGTCAAGGATTTCATTGTACTTGGATCCACAGTCAACGCCCATGGAAGCAGCAGTCAAGAAATCAAATGATGTGTTGCATTGGGCAGATCTACTGCAAAAGAATTCTTGGAAGTGTTAAAAAGCAAAGATGTCACTTTGAGGACTAAGGTGTGCCTAACCTAAGCCATGGTATTTTCAATAGCCTCATATGCGTGGGAAAGCTGGACAGTGACTAAGGAAGACCGAATAATTGATGCCTTTGAATTATGGTGTTGGCAAAGAATATTAAATATACCATGGACTACCAGAAGAATGAACGAATCTATCTTGGAAGAAGTACAGCCAGAATGCTCCTTGGAAGGGAGGATGGCAAGACTTTGTCTCACGTACTTTGGACACGTTATCAGGATTTGGACACGTTGGAGAAGGACATTATGCTTGGTAAAGTATGGGGTCAACTAAAAAGAGGAAGACACTCAAGGAGATGGATTGACACAGTGGCTGCAACAGTAGGCTCAAACATAGTGAGGATTGTGAGGATGGCATAGAACTGAGCAGTGTTTTATTCTGTTGTACATAGGGTCACTATGAGTCAGAACCGACTTGACAGCATCTAACAACAAAATACCCATGAAGTGTCTTTGCCGAAAGCTTTTTTATCTTTAATGTGTCGCTCTTTTGAAACAGGTATGATGTGGCAAGCTGGGACTGTAAATCCTATAATAGAACAATTATTCCAGTTTATCGGTACCAGAGAAAATGGAGCAAGTTTTGAAATTAACAGATTGCTTATTACTTGCCTTCAATATCACCTGTTGAGACAACCAACTGAAATTGTTAATCAGTCAGAAAAATGAAAACGGTTTCCAGGGCCTGTTTTCATGTTTCAGTGGCTTCCAGTTATTTCTGTTGCTTGGGTCAGCAGAGTGCGTTTGTAATGAAGATGACTTTGTTGTAGCCATCTTGTATTGGTGGGAAGCAAAAGTTTAATTGGGTTGGTCTGTAATGCAGATGTGAGTCAAGTCCACTACCAATTGCTTTCAAGAACGTTGACAGAGGAAAGCACCATCCAGGTTCCAGAAAGACCCTACAGGTTCTACAGTTTTCAGTGACCCTGGAGATGACTTATATGCAGTGTCAGAGTTTGGAAGACATCACAGAGATAGATGAATGATTAATATTGGTAGCTATTTAACAACGGGCTGTGTAAAGTGATAAAAAGGAAGAGGACTGCCTGTTCAACCTTGCCTTCCAAATAGCTGTCAAAATGTTTTTTGTTTTGTTTTTTCCTTAAACGGGAAAATTGTGCTTTTTGGCAATCCAGCAGAAGCAGTTACATTAAAAGTGCTTACTAGGTAATTAGTTTTTGCTGATAATTTGTCATACTGAAAGTTCATGCTACATTTGCATTGTTCAACAGGTTCCCCCAATTCCCAAGTTTATTTTATACCTTGATTTTTAGCATCTGGTAGATATCACAATATACTTTCAGCGTACCTGTAATTAGTAATGATCCGTTTGCTTATTTATTTTCTCCTAGCATGGCTTATTACACCATATACTGTTTATCTTTCAGTGCAGAGTGGTTATAAAATTGCATAAAAAATTCCGTTACCATCATCACCTGAGAAAATATAGGAAAAAGTTAACACACTGCTCTTCGATTTCATTTTATGCATACCAGGTTTTCCCTTAGCATTTATTTCTAGGATGATTTAGCTTATTTACTGTTTAAACATATGATAGATTTGGAAATATTTTTTTTTCTCAGGAGAAATCTCTATGATTAAATGGCCACATAATTTAATAATCGAGTAGTTCTAGCAAAATTTAAAAATTGTAAAGGGTACCAAAAAAAGAAAATTTTACGAACTGTCTTTAAGGTAGAAATATGAACCTGAAATCAGCTACAGTGAACTTTCAATTTTCTGGGAACACATTGATAATTTGTGGATTACGATACTCCTGGTATCCCATACCCCCGCCCCCATTTAGCCACCCAGCATTCTTGAGTTACTCAAATAGAAACCTGTTCTCTTCTGCCTTACAGGTCTGTCCACACGCCCTAGGGTAGACTATTTTTTCTTATTCTCTTTTCCTAGATAACATTTACTCCTATTGCAAATCAAATTCAACTATCAATTCCCTGAGATCTCAGGTAACCATAGATACTTCTGTTTACTCTGAGCTTGCATTACTTTGTAATTTTACATTGATTTGTATAATCATTAGATTAATGCCTGTCTTTTGATTGTAAGCTCCATGAAGATAAGGGCTGTTTTTATTTCCATCACCATTATATTCCCAGCAACTAAAGTCAGTAGTTGCTTAATAGGTAGTTTTTGAGTGAATGATCTTATTTTAAAACAGTAGCGCGTCTGAGAAAATATTCAAATCTGTATGATGTAGGGAAATACCTCCTCCTTGTTAAGCTCCCATGTAAGCCACGGTGATAGGCCCCTCCCACAGTGACAAGTTCCCTTTCAGAGTAATTCTGTGGACAGCAGCGTGGATAAAGGACATGGCTTCTGGAGAAACTAAAAATTGCAACATCTTTGCTTAGCTTTGAGAGGTTTTAAGGGAAAATAGGGGTGACGAGGAAAACAAAATGAAGCTTTGACTCTACATCTGCCCAGTTCTGGTCCATTCTATTTGAGGAAAGGGGAAAAAAGGAGAGTTAGGAAAACAATAAAAAGAAACAAAAAACAGACTAATTTAACAGATAGTACACTACAAGCAATGTTTTTTTAATTCAAAGAATTATTAGCATTCCTAACAACCATGAGTTGGGGGCCTACTCGATGGCAGCTAACAACAAGGATTTCTCACAGATGATTAGCATTCTTAAGTTGTTTTCTTTGAATTATTTTTATACTCTAAAAAAAAATAGCAAACATGTTTCGACATATATATCTAAATATTGGTTGTAATTTTACTGATACAGTTGTCAGAAATAATCTATTGAGTATTATTTTACCACATTTCAACTTATTTTGCTTAGAGTTCTTCTGGACATCCCTCTTCAAATTACTGTTACCACTTTTTTGTTTGCTGGTTTATTTTTTAATTTTATTGTATTTTAGGTGAAAGTTTACAGCTCAAGTAAATTTCTCATTCAAAAATTTATGCACATATTGTTTTGTGACACTGGTTGCAGTCTGCATAACGTGACAGGACACTCCCCCTTTCCACCCCGGGTTCCCTGTGTACATTGGTCCAGTTCCTGACCCTTCCTGCCTTCTCATCCTGCTTATGGACAGGAGTTGCCCATTTGGTCTCATATATTTGATTAAACTAAGAAGCATGTTCCTCACGTGTGTTATCTTTTGTTTTATAGGCCTCCCTAATTTTTGTCTGAAAAGTGGGCTTCGGGAATAGTTTCATTTCTGGGTCAGCAGAGTGTCTGGGAGCCATACTCTCGAGAGTTCCTCCAGTCTCTGTCAGACCAGTAAGTCTGGTCTTTTTTCCTGAATTTGAATTCTATTCTACATTTTTCTCTCATTCTGTCTAGAACTCTCTGTTGTGATCTCTGTCAGAGCTGTTGCTGGTGGTAGCCAGGCACCATCTAGTTCTTCTGGTCTCAGGCTGGTGGAGTCTCTGGTTCATGTGGTC